CCAGCTACTTGACTGAATTTGGTTATTAAGTGTAGAAGACTTTTGGTGGAGTTCTTGGGGTCTTCTATATAGAGTATCATGTCATCTGCAAATAATGACAATTTGACTCCTTCATTTCCTGTCTTTATTCCTTTTATTTCTTTCTCTTGCCTAATTGTTATGACTAATGTTTACAAAACTACATTGAACAAGAGTGGTGATAGCGGACATCCTTGTCTTGTTCCTGATTTTAGTGTGAAGGACTTCAGTTTTTGACCATTTAGTATGATACTGGCTGTTGGTTTTTTATAGATGGCTTTCATCACATTGAGGTACAGACTGTCTATTCCAATTTTTTGGAGAGTTATCATAAATGTGTGCTGGATTTTGTCAAATGCTTTTTCTGCATGTACTGAGATGATCATATGTTTTCTGTCCTTGGCTCTATTGATATAGTGTATTACATTTATTGATTTGCGTATGCTAAAACATCCCTGCATTCCTGGGATGAATCCCACTTGGTCAGGGTATATGATCTTCTTGATGACCTTCTGCATTCTATTTGACAGTATCCTATTAAGGATTTTTGCATCTATGTTCATTAGTGAGACTGGCCTATAGTTCTCTTTTTCGGGTGGGTCTTTCTTTGCTTTAGGGATCAAAGTGATGACTGCTTCCAGGAATGAGTTCAGGAGTATTGCTTCCCTTTCAATTTCACTGAAGAGGTTAAACAGTAGTGACAGTAGTTCCTCTCTAAATGTCTTGTAGAATTCAGCAGTGAAGCCATCAGGGCCCAGGGTTTTCTTGGTTGATAAGTTTTTAATTACGTTTTCAATTTCATTGATTGATACTGGGTTGTTTAGAATCTTTAGGTATTCGTTCAACTTTGGTAATTCTTATGTGTCTAGGAATCTGTCCATTTTTTCTGTGTTTTCCACCTTATTGGCATATAATTTCTTGAAGTAGGTATTGATGATCCTCTGGATTTCTGCTGGGTCCGTTGTAATTTTACCCTTTTCATTCCTAATTGCATGGATTTGGGCCTTTTCTTTCCTTTTTCTGACAAG